TATGGTAAATGTATGCTATTTATAGAATTAGTATACTCACACATAGAATATCTGGAAAACAGAGGAGATAGTGAAAATTGTCTCTAATACTATCACCTCCACCTCTGTAATACATACAACCACTTTTAGGTGTATTTCCTTTCAGGTTTTCCCCCTAGGAATGAATAATACAGACAGACACACACACACACACACACACACACACACAAATGCAGGCACTATAAATATTGCCTCATGACCTACGTTCAATATTGAGGGAAGTACGAGAGGATAGTGGAATCCCTCACTATTTACATGTGATCTTGAACAAGTTATTTAACACCTCGTGCCTCATTTTCCCCATGTTAAGAATACTAGTAATATCTACCTTTCAGATTACTGAGGAGATCAAATTAAAAATATATGCACAGCACTTATAATAAAACTTGTAAAAATATTTTCTATTTTATTACATAGTCCTCAGAATGATACTTTTTAATTATTGCATAATATTTTATAGAATTGACAGAGAGGCACAAGTGTTACTCACCTGGTCTCCTACTTTTGAACATTTAAATTGCTTCTAATTCTCCATAATTATAGATACCTTTGTAGTGAGAAAATGAATACTTAGAGTCTTTTCCATATTTAAGATTATATAGTAGAAAGAGTGGCAGGGGTAGGATTATTGGATAAAATGCATGATTGAGTTAAGGCTTTTGATTCAAACTGTTAAACTGTGCTCTAGAGAGAAAGTTTTTAGAGACAGAGACTTTTTCTAGGCCAACAGAAATGGGCCAATGAAGAAAGCCATGAAAAGTGTGTGTGTCTATGTTTGTGCACATACATGGGGGGGGGGGGTGTGGATGTGGAACATAGACTTCCCAAAGACACTTCTTAACCTTAAAGGCTAACCTTTGGATTTAGAAAAACCACTTTTTTCATTTGACCAGGTAAGAAAATAAGATGAGTATAGATCTAGAGAAATTCTGAAGCAGGACTGAAGAAACTTGTTGAAACACAAGCCAGCTGTCTTAACTCTTCAAAGTAAGCCAGGAGATTAGGTTTCCTGCAGAGAGAGACTGAAGGGCACAGGCCTGAGCTAGGAGTTTAAGGCAAGGCTGAGACCATGGCAATAGTGATAAGGCAGAGGACTAATGCCACTTACTGCCACTAACGTTAGAGCTTTGGAATATCTGTTACTCTCTTGGCCTCTGCTGGTTACGACAACATCAAGAGGTAAAAGGACAAAGGAGAAAGTGCCCAGACAGTTTACTGTTCCTAGTGTAGACATTTCAAATCTGCAAGATGCATTTTTTTTTTTTTTTTTTTAGGTCTACAACATATTCTCTTCTTTGGCTGTGTTGTGGGCTGGTGATATTCATTGTGAAATTATTGCTCATTATCTTCAGTTACTCTCCTCTCATTTTTTCCTGGAAAATGACTTCTGGTACCATCTATCCACCAAAATTGCTCTTATTAAGTGATCTCCTGTTTGCTAATTCTAATGGTCAAATGCAGTCTTCCACTTGATCAATCGACCCTCCCTCCAACTTGAGGTACTTGGTTCTCTTAGTTTCCAAGACAACACACTTACCTCATTTTTCTTCTACTTTACTTGTTGCTCCTTCTTAAGTCTTTCGTACTGGTATGTGTTCAACTCCCCATCCTCTTAATGTTGGTACGCCTCAGGCTCGCAGTCCCCGAGGCCACTCTCTTTTCTGCCCACACTGCTGCCTTGGGTCACTCATGCAGTATACTGCCTTTAAATAGCCTCTATCTGCTGATGACTCCCACACTGCTATCTCTAGTCAGGATATCCTCCCTAGACTCTAGGCCCAGAAATCCAGCTGCCTCCCTCCTCTTAGATATCTGATGGGCAGTTCAATCTTAACATGTCCAAAACTGAACTCACGATATTCTCCCCAAACTTCCGTCTTCTCCATTTCAGTAAATTGGCAACACCAATCGTCTAGTCACTCAGGCCAGAAACTTTGGAGTCACCTTTGACTCCTCTGTTACTTTCATAGCCCACAGGTAATGTCAGGAAATCCTGGCACTTCTACCTTCAAAGTGTGTCCAGAACCCATCCACTCCTTCCTCACTACTGCCATGTCCTACTCCAGGAGGACCCACTCTCATTTCAGTTGATGTGAACAGGGCCCCCGGGAATAGTTCCTTGTACTACTTGCAAGGCGACATGTGCTGGCTCTGGTATCACCTGAGTTCAGACTACCATCATCTCAAACCTGGACTATTGTAATAGCTTCCTAATTTGGTTTCCCTGCTTCTTTCTACTTCCTGTCTATTCTCAATGCAGCAGTCAATCCAAACTTCCGTAAGTCAGATCACCATTCTATCTAGAGTCTCCAGTGGATTCTCATCTCACCTGGAGTCAAGGCTGAGCCCTCTTAACCTGCCCTCTCTAAAATTACCTCTCTCACTTTGCTCACTCTCTTTCAGCCACAATGGTGTTTTTGTAGTTCCTTGAACAATGCAGATATATTTTTGCCTCAGGGTCTTTGCCACCTGCCATTATAGTGTGTCTTTCTATGGCTTGCTTCCCTACTTCTTCCAGGTCTTTATACTCAAATACCAAATTCTTGAGCTGTCTTCTCTGACCACTCTTTAAAATTGCATCCCTTGCCCCCTCACGTTTCCTGTTCCCATTTCCTGCTTTATTCTTCTTTTTAGTAATCATTATCTAATATATCTTATGTTTTACTTATTTTTCTTGATTATTGTCTGTGTCCCCTATTAGAAGGTCAGGCTCCATGAGGGCAGCAGTCCTTGCCCACTCTTCTCACTGCTGTATCTGTTGGATATTTCTTGGCACATGGAAGGCATGAAATTATGTACCATACTTCCTGCCGCCACCCCCCGCCCCCGGCCATATAAACAAATGTTTAGCCAGGGTGAAAAGAACTTGAAATGGACTAGAAAAAGACTTTGAAGGAGAGTTAGGTAAAGTAAACTTAGAAGATTAAAAATAGTGTTAGTTAAGATGCACAACTTAACTTTCAGGATATAGTCTAAATGCTAGTCATTGTTATGTTCTCTGGCTCTCTGTTTTGTAGTTACCTGTGAAGATTAGATTTAAAAATTCATGGAATATGAGAGTTAGAATAGGTCTTAGAGGACACCCTCACTTTATAAGCAAAGCAAGTTTTTCTTCTAAGTTGTGTTGGCAGGATTTTAAATTATTCATTACAATGAAGACATGGTCCACTTAGCTCACTTATGATAACATGTGACTCGCACAATCCTGGAATGCGGAAACTGGCAACTAAGGTGGGGGCCAATGCTTTCACATAAATAAGACCAAAATGTAATTAGTCTCTCCCAGCTACCATATTTTTCCATGTATAATGCGCACCCATGTTTCTGTGCACATTATACATGGGATTATCATACTTATTATACCCATGTATAATGTGCATCCTATTTTTCCTTCAAAAATTTGGGCAACAGAGTGTGCATTATACATGGCAAAATATGGTAAATGGTTTTAACAAAGACCAGATCCACAGTTTTTATAATCAAACACATATTCTAAGGAATAAATGTACTCTTCTACTTTTATTAGCTATTACAATTTAGGTAGTTTCAGACACTATTCCTGGTGAAAAAAATGTATGGGTTCAGTTCAGTAAAAAGGGATTCAAACAGAGAAGTATTAACACATTCTTTTCAAAGAAGCCAAGAGTCAGACTTTTAGTTACTGTAAATTTCTTTAGCAGATAGGCAGTCATGGGCCAAATACAGAGCTAATAAAGTTAGTATGATTTTTTAAAAATTTACTTTCCCCCCTCAAATAAGAATTAAGTTAATATTAAATAACATTTATGGTGTAATGGTTGCAGAGCGTATACTTTTTATTTGGAGAGCTGTGTCAGACATGGGTCTGAGCTAAATGACCTCCCTCTGTCCATCCCAGCTGATCAGTTTATTTCTAGAAACAAAGTATCAATACATTTTGGGGGAAAATAGAAAAAATATTCTTTTCCTAAATTTGCATTTGTGTATGTTTTATTTAGGGCAAAATTGGGAATCTTCTGTGAGCATATGCAGAGACTGACAATAAAAAAAAATAGGTGGCCCATAAGTTTAGCTAAATGTATGGAGCTAAATGCATGTAACCCAGCATGGAGCCAGCTTCTGGTCAGAGATAAGGTAGATCAGAGGATGTACACACTAAACAGTAAGAATGTATATTACCTGTTTTTATTAGGAATACCAGTTCATGTTATGTTATAAAATCCATCTTCAGTTTATATTTTTTGGTTAGTTTTTTTAAAACTAAAGAGAATTAGAAAGCAGACTTTGGTTCTCACTTTTCAGAGAAACTGAAGCACACACAAAAAGGGATGATATAAACTGTTACACCAAATAATTACTTAGTTATTGCTGAAGTCACTTGTAACACTTATATATCAAATTAATGACCCAAGCTCAGGTCGGAGGTAACTGTGTAGGAAAGTAATTGTTTCTAGTTTCTGATTAACGTGGAAGAAAACACTTCAAAGAATGTAGATTTGATAATAAATTTCTGAGCATGAAGATAGTTGATCCTTTTCCCCTTTGTATTTTTCTTTCAGCTTGCTTTAAGATCATTCATGAAAAGTTGTTTTCTACATATTCATATAGACAAGAACAAATAGAATGTGGACAAACAAGGACAAACGCAACTTATTGACAATTATGTTCCAAAAATAAAATTTAAAAATGTTCCAAAGAATGAGACAAAAATCAGGCCAATTTGAATAATATGGAAATTAAAGTGGTTTTTTCTCTGGTTCCTTTGACAGAATATAATCTTTCTCAGCATTGACTTTTATATTTATAAAAAGGAAATACAAATGTGTATACTTAGTATCTCTAAGGTCTCTTTCAGACCTCATATTTTATAATTCTGTAAAACTCAAGATTGAAATTATTATTTATTTTTTACAAAGCAAGGAAAAGAAATGTGATATTTTCTAGTTGGCCACAATTAAAAATTTTATAAATTATTCACTTACCACAAGATCGTCTTGATTTTCATTGAGCTCAGAAAGTTTGGAACTGGATTTCTGACGTTTAGGTTTGCCTCTTTCTCCAATATAGCCAGAAGTATTTTCATGTAATTTTTCCACTTCCTGAGCACTCAAAATACAATCAAAGTTGGTGAAACCAGAGGGAATATTTTCTTTGTTGGTAAGTCCCCTAGAATTGAAAGAAAGTTTTCTTAATTGTATTTCGAAAGGTAAAAGGGACATTTTAATGACACTGTCACTGTGTCACATAGGAGTCGGAAGACTGCCTAGAAACTCTAGTTTGCATCTTTGATCAAAATCTGAGCAGGGTGTCACTCCTGAGACCTCTAGGTGCTCACTGTAAAAGAGAAGTTATTCCAAGAGGCAAATTGGCAATGACTGTGTTTCTAGCAATGAACAACTTTCGTATTTGTACCAAAGGTAATTTGTATTCAAACAGGAAGACTAGTGCAAGCCTAACAAAATAACTCCCTCCGGGTATATACTATATACACACATATATATTATATATACACACACATGCACAAATAAATTTTATTCATTAATACAATGTAAGGAGAAAATCTGAAGAGGGAACATATCTGTTTTTCTAGAATGGGACATATTGATTTACCAAATGATAAGGTCAGTTTGGCATAGCAAAAATGCATTAACATTTAAATCTGATTGTGTTAGATCATTTTTATACAAATAGTATAATACAAAACTATGGAATATGAAGCATTTTAACTGAAATAGATTTGTTACTCCCCAGTGCAAGGAGTTCCACGATGTAAGATTGTAACTGGAGGCGCTTCATGACTTCATTTTAGAAGAAGATATAAATGTCATAATTACAGAATTTAGTTTATTTAATATTCTTGAAATAGTTTTCTTTAAGTACTTTAAACATTTCCTTTTAAGAGGTTTCTGCAAAATTAAATTACTTAGCAAAATCATTATGATTTTGTAAAATCATAATGATTAATCATAATGATGATTTTACTACATCATTAAAGCAAATTAAACCACCAGTGCAGCTCCATGGCCCGAGAAGGCACAAATGAGTGAGATTTTACTCTTCTTCATGGTATGGCCCTAAAGATACCTCCTTAAACACCTATCGCTATATCCCCTAAATAAATGAACTCTAAAGAGTTAAATAGATGACCATATTTTACTATCAGTCCAACCATATCCAAAAATGAATAATAATATTAAATATTTATTCTGCAACTTAAATTCATATTCTCTAAGGCATAGATGTGCTATAATGGAGCAAAATTATGAATTAATATTACCATACTATTTTCAAAGTGATATTGTATTATCTTTGGTGATTTTTAATATTCCATGTTTAATTTATTCTATACAACTTTTAATGTAAAAATATATAGATTTAGTAAAATTAGACAAAAGATATGTACAACATTTACAAGAAAAATCATAATATAAAATAATTGAATACATCAGGGAAAGCTGACAGGGACTAACATGCTGGCAGATATACTCCAGCAAATATTCTCAAATCTCTCCGCTGCATGCACTGAGAGCAGTGCCTTCTGTGGATGCCTGGATGAGTTTGCTCTGAAATTCATAACTGTTTGTTTTACTATTTAAATTCTGTCTTCTTGTCACTCTTCATATTTTCCCTAACTCTGGGGTATAAACCCAATTATAATATTTTAATGGAGGGGTTTTATGTTTTAAAGCTGTTACAAGCTAAATTGAATTCCCAAATTCATATGTTGAAACACTAATTCCCAATGTGATGATATTTGGAGATAGAGTCTTTAAGGAGGTAATAATTAAGGCTACAAGAGGCTATACAGCCAGGGGCTTTATCCAATAGAACAGGTGTCCTTGTAAGAAGAGGGAGAAACACCAGGAGAGGAAGAACGGCTACATGAGAAGGCACCATCTACAAGTCAAAAAGAAAGGTCTCATCCACCCTGGCAGCACCTTGATCTTGGACTTCCAGGTTCTCAGAACTGTGAGAAAATAAATTGCTGTTCTTTAAGCCCCCTAGTCTGTGGTGCTCTGTTATGGTATCTGTGGCAGATTAATACAAAAGCTAAAATTTATTTTTAGAAATTAAAAGACAACATTTATTTTAGAAGCTTTTGAATAGTGAATGAATGGCTGGAATAAATCCTATTTAAATAAATATATGAAAATCTGATTGTGCAGTTATGTTCATGTGGAAACCTTGTTCTCAAAGGAAAGTCTTTGCGGTTGTGTGAGTCAATGTCTCTCACCACATGACCTATATGAGTGTGAGGAGCAATGGTACACAATTCCTTCCTTTCTGCAACATCCTGACAGATTTCAATGGTACATGACATCGTTTACCTTTGGCTTGACCTTAGATCTCTGTGGCATCTCACTTGCGCTATTTAGATCTCATATCTTGTTTTTGTTTTCAGTTTCCTCTTTGGAAGCACATTGAACGTTCGTTCCACATTGAACGTTCTAGCAATACTGAACTATTTATTTTCCTCCTAACATAGTGTGCTTTTTCTACTTTGCAGTAGGAATTTAATATAATATTTATATAATAAAAATTTCCCAGTTCATCATGCTTTAGAATATTAAAACCATTTTGACTTAAATTATGCTTTTCTTTTAAAAAATATTTATTGTGGAATTTTCATTCATTTCAATGAACTTTCATACACCTATCACCAAGATGCAATATTTCCATGCACCCAGCAGATGGTATATTTTTAAACAGTAACCTTTCACATAATAAATATATTGCCTAAGTTTTTGTTTTTATTGTAGAAAATAATAATATAAACCTGATAATATTGCCTTCTGAATTTTGACAAATAAGAAATCATGTATACTAAAATGAACTATATATTAATCTAGTGTAACTTCTGTATTGCTTATTTCAAAAATCTGCCTGATGATCTTAGTACAGACTGTAGTCTCTTCAGTCTCATCTCAGAATATGGTAACCATTAGCCTCAAAAGTTTTTTTTAAAAATGTGGTTGTAGCTCTGAGCTGTGAGCGGCAAAATAAGAGTTAGTAGTTTTAAAAATTTCTGTTTTTCAATACATTTTTTAACCATTCCATAGGGCTAAAAGTTTTGAATAGAACATATAGTAAAGTCTAGCTTAATCTTCTCTTATTTTTCAAGCAAAGCGTGATGAAAATCTTAGATAAATGAGTCAATTACATATAAGCATATGTTGAGAAAAGCATACTTACTATAGGCTATAATAATGATTCTCCATTTCTCACAATTGATGTCATGTTAGTGTATCTCCTGGGGACATATGAAAAGACTTTCATGGGGGGAAAAGTAGTAGGTCTGGGTCCTGAGAGATAAGGGCCTTGCTCTCCAAAGACCTGGAGAGCTCAGAGAAGCGGTTCAGTGTAAGCTGCGAGTTGAGGAAGGAAGATCAAGGCATGATAGTGACCCAGGGTCAGTTTAGGAGAGGGTGTCCTCTGGCCTTGGTCAGCTAGCTCAGTTGATTAGAGCATCGTCCTGACATGCAGGTTCAATCCGTGGTCAGGACATATACAAGAAACAATTATTGAATGCATAAATGAGTAGAACAACAAATAGATGTTTCTCTCTCTCAAATCAATTAAAAAAAACAACAAGAAACATCCTTGGACTTAGAAAACTATATGTAAAATCTGCAGGTGAGGTTACCCTATGTTTCATATTTCTCTCCTTGTCTAGCTTCTCCTCGTTTTTGATCTCACCCCACTGTGCTCCTCCCGTCTGCGGCCACGCACCCGTCACCGCCGCCGCCGCCCCTTTCTCTCTGCCGGCCTCACAACCGCTTCCAGCCTCCACTCGCTACCCCTCTGTCAAAATGTTGAGGGTGGGTGAAAAGTATGATGTCGTGACACATTAAGGGTATTTTAAAAACGCAAAATATTGCTGCAATTTGGCAAAAAATGAGGCAAAGGATAAGAACAGTGTTAAATGAATAATTTGTACTTGCTGTATAACACAATATAAGCAGTTCACAAAGTAATCATATTCCTAAACATGGCCTATAAAGCTTGGTCGGAAGCTACCTTTAAATGTAAATCTTCTGTATCGTATTTTTCTATTTTCCAAAGGGAACATTACAGCAGCCCCTCCTTTCCGCCAGCTCTAAGACAAATGTTTTTTCTTAAAGTGCTGATTATCTAAACCTACTTTAGTATTATATCACAATAAGTGCAAATAAAACCATTATGTTTATGCCTTAAACTTATATGGTGATGCATGTCAATTATTGCTCAATAAAAATGAAAAAAAAAGTACTGCTTATGTCACTTGAAAAGTCAGTTACACCACTGATACCGCCTTACTTCTAAGATTAGTGTTAATATAGCCCTTAGGTGATATGCAGCATGAAACTTACTTATACCATTTATCTTCTGTGTTTTTCTTAAAGCAACAAGAAGTTTTCTTTCTTTCTTTTTTTTGAATAAAGGTTTTGATGTAGAGTATGAGTCCAGATAAGAAATAATGATGAGAACTAGGGTATAGTTTAGCGTTTGACATTTAATAATGAGTTCAAAACAACAATTTTATAGTGACCAAATGCTACAGCAGATTAAATACTAAAACTTTTGGGAAAATAAATGAATATAGTCTGTTACATAAAAATATTTTCCTTGACTATTTAAGTCATGGTTATTCAATAATTGTTCATTTGTATTTATCAAACCTTTTAATGGAGAATAAAGTTCCCTGTAATACTATTCTTGAAATTCATGCTGTGGGAATACCTTAAAATTAGTCATTATAATAATTAAAAACTCAAGTATCTCCACTTTTATTAGGCTTAAGCTCAATCTTTCTTATACCAAAACATAATCAACTGTCAAGAGTTTTAGAGAGAGAGTCTAGTATTTAATTAGGTCCACGGAGTAGAAAACTCTGCTGGTTCATATCCTAGTCTAACAGCCAACTGAATGTTGTCTGACAAGAAAAAACCACCTCTGGACAGGCATATAGCAACTTTCTCCATTTTTTCAGGACTCTTTGAAGTAAGATTTTAACAAGGAATCTATGAAATATATTAAATCAGAGGTGGCTTCCTACAATGTGTCAAATTCAGACAAAACTGAAATGTTTACTCAACCACCTATGACTTTCCAAAGGTTGGCTAAATTTAAAATGGTCACAATGAAAACTTTTTAAAGTTTTAATTTACATACTGAAATGGGAGTAGCCATGACACAGGAAAAAATTCAGGTGTATATTTTTAAAGGCAGAAGGGAAAACACAAACAAGAATTACTGACGTCAACTCACAGGTCTCTGCCGTGTCGCACTTCATCCTGCTCCTTGGACAGGCGCCGTCGCTGTCGGGCAGATGTGGAGGAAGTTGCTGGGGACGATCCAGGTTCTGAGTCCTCTGAGCTTTGGCTTCCCGAGCTATTAACATCAAAAAGATGCTGTTCCACAGCCGACCGGATGGTTCTTTCTAAGAGTCTAGTTAAAAAAAAAAAAAAAGAATACAGAATGATTCAAGCAATCAAGTTTATCAACAATTGCCTTTAAATATATGTGCCCACAAATAAGAAAATATCAGTATTCTAATGGAAGACCTACTACAACTTCATAAGCCAAGGTAGTATATGAGGCATTCGCCCCAAGAATATTTGCATTGTGCATTAAAAACCAAACTAAACAGAACAAATTTCACCAATCTGATAACTGTGTCTCTCCTCTTTGTGAGTCCAGGATTACTGAAATGCTCACAACAAGTCCAGCAACATTTGTAGGAGGCGTTCAGGAAATAAGGTCATTTAATATAAGGCAGAATGAGGAAAGATTTTTTTTTCCTCATAGAACAATAATGGATCTATTCTTACAAAGGCAAGTTTCTTCCAGATTTCATACCAGTTTTGCAGAGAAGGAAAGTATGATTTTCAAAGCAAACTGGCACTGATAATTTTATGATGCCTATTATCTATTTAAAATTCTTTTGAGATAAAATTATACAGAAAGTAATGCTATTAACAAAAGAACACCTTGCCAGAACAATTGCCATTCATAACAGAAAAGCAAAATCTTTCTGAACCTATTCAATTAAATTGCGATATATATGATCGAGGCTGCATTCATACAAACACTTCAATATATATCACTGAAGATGAAAGAATAGATTTATTTTGTTAAACCTGAGAAAAATAGCGAAGCACAAGGGGCTGAAAAGAGCACATGATGAGGCATGGTTTTTAAAGCTACATAGTCCTCCAGTGTGTCTACACCTGACATCATCACAATAACTTTGAGCAAGCTGACACAAAAATTCTAAATTCATACTCTTCAAAACATGTTTTCCTTCATCTGAAAGAATCACACCCAGATATCAAATTGTATACATTAAATATATGTAGTTTTTGTATATCTCAATATGTGTAGCTTTTTATATCTCAATAAAGTTGTTAAAATTAAAAAAGAACCACTTATATATTTTTAAATGTTCAGATTGAGAAATATATTCATTCAAATGAAATGGATTTTAGAAATTTAGGAACTTTAGATTTTTCAAGTAGAGTTTTATTAAGAGACTCATAGTAATTTCATTAAAATTATTTTAAGACAATGAGCAAGTATAGTCTGATTGGGTATTAGAAATTTTACGTTTAGAATTCCTCATCCCAGTGATTCAACGTTACCTAATAATAGTACATAAGAACGTGAGTACATAATGTGTACCTATAGAGCAACCACACCCTTTTTCCAAACTATACGAGACATATAACAGATAAAAGGTAATCCAGAAACAAACAGGCAAGAACAAATCAATCTTAGTATAATCATGGAATCTTCTTAAAATTCACAGAGGTTAGTAAGAGGTCAATCCTGCCCTCTGATTGCTTCCTCACTAATAAAAAAGAAAATAAATCTAAATTCATCCTATTAGATCCAAATTCATACCAATTAATGCTTCTTCTAATCCTTTTTTCTTCTTCCTCATCACATCACATCTTCCTCTCTTCCACTACCTGGTCCCTGCTGATGGAAGATGCTCCAGAAAGGCTCACCCATGTCCCAGCAGGGAGAATCTTTGGGCAAGGGACTATTTACAAATATTTATTTAGTGATTAATGTATGCCAGGCATCTTTCTAGGAGTACAGCCACAAATAGGACAATATATACTTTGCTATGAGGAGAGACAGATAACAAACAGATCATGAAATTTCAGATAGTGATAAATTTTCTGTAAAATACAATACAGAGTTAGAGAGTGACTGTGAGTGGTCAGGGAAACTTCTTGAATAAGATGAAATTGGAACAAAGAGGTGACTGGCAAGAAAGTGAACGTCCAGGCTGAGGAACAGCCAGTGCAAGGGCTCTGAGGCAGATACCAGTGTATGGTTGGCCTATTTCAGAAACAGCCCCGTCAAGTGCTTGAAGCAAAATGAACAATGTAGCTAGAGAGGTAGGCAAGCACAGACAACTGGGGTTTATATTTTAGTCAAAGTGTAATTGGTAGCCTTAGGAAGAAAAAGACACTTGATGGAGAAAGTTAACTAAGTGCTGCTGCTGCACTGTGGAAAAATGATGTGTTACTTTCTTTTCCATGTTCCTACTAGACTGAAGGCTGAGCCCAAGGTCATTTGACATTACACACCTAACACTATGCGTGGCATATTTCAGGCACGTAATGTATGAAGGCTGACTAAAATTAACAAAGAAAGACATAAAGGCCCAGTTAATACTTAAACCTTTAATTGCATCCTCTGTTGCATCATACCTCCCAAAGCACACAGATTGCTTTGCAAATATTGACTCTGACATTACTTAGACTGAAATAAATAAAAATCTCATATGTTGAAATGGTAGAGCTGTCTCTAGTCACACACTCATACAGAAGATCAAATGGGAACGTTTCTTACTTAGCACTCTCCTCTTGTGTAGTTTTCAAAACCATTTGGTTACTTACTGTATAAATCTTCCAATACTATCCAATATTAGAATTGCCTTTGTTCTCTGTTTAATAAGTGGGCAAGAAAGAGGGGAAAAAACCCCATCCAATTCAAGGAACTTACTCTCCTGTTGTTGAAACACTGCTGACTTGGGATACATGGGCACTGCGGAAAAGAAGCAAAGAGAAAAAAAGTCAAACAGATGGAGCACCAGACTGTGAACCACACATTTGAAGGGGACCTTAGGCTTAAAGTGTTAGCTGGGCCCTGAGTGACCCTTGCACAATGTTCATCCAGCCCCTGACAGATGCTGATTTTCACTTGTTTCTAGAACTAGAGATGGCCCTGGGTATTTATTCCAGAGCAGTGTTCCCCTCCCCTGCCTCCCATTTTAAAGATGTCCATAACAAGACTGTTTCACAAGTGACCTTTGAAAACTCTCTACCTCTCACCCTAGTGCCATGGTCTTAGTTCAGGGTCTTTTTATTTTCCCCCAAATGTTACTGCAATTGCTGTTGACTGTCTTCCTGCTGCCACCGCTACGCATTCCCCGCTCTCCCCAGCCCAAACTGTCCCTTCCTTGTTCACCTCTTCTAGGCCTGTAGACTGAAGCATCTTTCTGAAACTGCTCTGGACATGAAGAGAGCAGCAGGGACTCGAGGGAATAGAGGACAAGGAACCAACATTGTTTTCTACGTGACTATTTCTAAGCCATCTTTCCTTCCTAAATTCCTCAAGGTAGACAATACCTCAAGCTTTATAATATTTCATCTTACCACCTGATTTACAGCTCTTTTGTTAAACACTTCTAAACTTCCTCTACTTCCCATTTTCTCTAAAGCATGAATTCCTTTGAAAGTATTAAAAAGTAGTCAACATAAAGTGGAATGGTGAAATTATAGGACACTATTTGATCAGCATCCTTCATAACGTCACCATCTTGCCTGCATTTTATGTTTATAAACCACAGAGAGGGGGTGAGGCTGGCAGCTATTTTAGCCATATGAATATCCATACTTCACATTGCAGGGGTGTCCAACCTTTTGACATCTCTGGGCCACACTAGATGAAGGAGAGTTGTCTTGGGCCACATGTTAAATACATTGTGACATATAATCACACACACACAAAATCTCATGATGTTTTAAGTAAATTTACGATTTTGTGTTGGGCTGCATCACAGCCATCCTGGGCTGCAGGTGGCCCGTGGGTGGCAGGCTGGACACCCCTTCTAGGGCTTAGTCAGCTTCTATATCAAGATTCAAAAGTATCTATGCTTGAAAGAAGAGATAAAAAAAATCTTTAGTGTATGTCAAACTATAGTTTTGCCTAATAGATCTGTTGCCTCCCTTTTCTTCCTTCTTTATAGACCACACCTAAAGAATTGCCTCCCTTTTCTTCCTTCTTTACAGACCACACCTAAAGAAAATAAAAACTGTTAATGACCAATATTGATGGTTGCTTTTCAATTACTCCAAACATCCTAATTTTTATGGTATAATTTTCAACATATGAACATATTGTTTTGTAATCGTTTGTTGAGTTTTTCTTCCATGTATGTGTATATCTCATCTCTTGCAACTCAGAGTCTAAGTGCCTCAAGGGACTGTATGATATTTCTCATTTTCTTTCATTAGACTCCCTACTACTACTACCACCATCATACCCAGCATAGTCACCATTATTCCACAGGTGGTCAACAGATCCTCTAGAGAATTTCCTCTGGTTAAAGCTCCAAATCTTTGTCATGGCCACAGGCCATATTCATATCCCCCCAAACCACCTACAATAATGCTATTGTGTACAAGGGAAATGGATGAGAAGAATCTTCATGAATAACTGAGTCAATGAACAAACAAACAAATACACCCTAACACTTACCAAGTACTTATTATGTTTCAGACACTGGGCTAAGTATTTTTACAAAGATTTTCTCATTCACTGTTTACATTAACCCTTGTGAGGTAGGTTCTATTGTTTTTCTCCCCCATTTTCAGATGAAGAGGTTAGAGAGGTTAAGTAACTAGCTAAGTCATGAGCCAAGAAGTAAATGAGTTGGGATTTGAACCAAGAAAGTTTTAGCTCAGCGTATAAGCCCTTAATCACTGCACTAGACTTTTAAGGACTCATTCACTAGAAGAAAAACTCACGAGAGTCATTTTTGATTATGCAGTCCTGCATTTAGGTATTTTACTTTGCTTTTCATCACAGTCATTTCTCCTCTGCCTCACAATGCCTGACATTCACTGTGGCTCCCAGGTTATATAACCAGCAACAAATCCTTTGCTGGCCTGTCCTTAAATGGAACAGACAGTCCCTGCTTTCGATGCTTTGTGGCTCACCCTTTGTAAATCCAACACTGTATAATTAACCCTTGTACTCCACTTCTCAGTGCAGTTATACAACCTTGGTTTTGGGAGAGGGACCAATGTGAATAATGACCAGGGGGACCCAGGAGAGGAAAAAGAATGTAGATCTGCTAGATGCTAAAAGCATTCCAAAGGTATATAGGTATAATTAAACAATTAGTATCCCCTGCCATCTCAGAATGAAAAGATCTATCTCTTCTCCTTCCTTCTGTGCACTTAAGACCTGAACTTCTTTTTGCTTGTTAAAATACACACTGATATTTTATGTTCCTTTTAGGGGGTATGAGTGGGGATGAAAAAAGGCAGGCAAGGAAGAGACAAAGGAATGGCAAGAAACAGGACCAGGTTCTGAGATTATGAACTAAGTAAGTGCTTCTCAAACTTGAGTGTGAATCAGAATCACCTGGGATCTTGTTCATACAGGTTCGGGTTCAGCTGGTCCACGTCTAGAGAAGGGAAGGCTGAGATTCTAAGAAACTCCCCCAGATTCTGCTGCTGTTCATTCATGGAAGACACTGATTAGCAAAGTTCTGCGACTAAAAATTCTTCAAGACTTCAATTCCTCAGACACCGAAACAGCTATTTTTAAACATTCTAATCTAAGTAATGAAGGTATGAATTGGAAAACTTACGCTAATCTGAGTGAATAAAAGGCAACACATAAAATTTCCCTCACAGTTTAAAAAAATGAACTGAACCATCTAAGTCAGTCTTAAAAAGCCTTTCTCACAATGCAAAAATAAGTGAATAAATTAATAATAAAACCAAGTAATTAAATCATGTTCATTTTTACTAGCATATTGATCTTAGGTCAAATTTCTGACAAATTTACATTTGATTATTTCTTTAATAATCTTTTGGAACTTTTTGTATACTTAACATGTCCCTATTTCCATATTTTTCTAATAGGATTTCTCTAAAGAAAGTATTCTGAGAACACTTTACATTGGTAACTAGAAAAGAGAAATTCTGGTCTTAGTTCTACAGTTGATTAGCTGAAATCATAGACTGTTGGATAGCTTGGCTGCACTGGGTTGTTTTCTTCATACAGAAAATGAAAGGTTTGGCTAGTGATCTCTGAGGTTTTCTTTTATTGCCCTAAAGCTTAAATCATTATAAAAGGTTATAATTGCATATTTAGTTTTATGACAGTGTCAGTCATAGTTATAGTTTATTAGATACCAAAATAGCTTTGTTAAGGTATCCTTCTACCTCCATAGTTCTTATGGGATGTGCTCAACAATTCACCAGTAAGGTTTCTAAGAATGTTTAATGTCAGAAATAGGGATGCTTCCATAGCTATCACTGGCTCCTGGAGATAATCTAAGATATTGCCAAAAAAGAGATAAGCAAATAAGCTAAAGTGAAAAACACACTTCCTTCATCTACATGTACTTTGTTTTTTATCCTCTGCATACAACTAAGAATAATACATTTTTCTCATAGCCTTGATTGATTTGCTAAGAAAAATTCTTACTTATGCAATATTTAACACTTGAATAAGGAGTTCATTTCCTAAGATTGATAAAGTATTTAAAACTGAAAGTAATAAGCCCATGTGCAGGCTCCAGCATTATGGTCAATTTTATTACCCAAGCCTACAGTAAGTGATGATGCAACTGAATTTTCTATTGCTATGATCATTTAAAACGGATTCTAAGCCTACTCTGAGATATATTTATGATATAAATATATTTAGTCTTTGTGTTTATTAGCAAAACCAAAATGGCATTTCTGTAAGCTGATTATGTTGAGCAATATTAGTGTATAAAAATTGCATGAGACACCCAGAGGCCTGATGACAGTGATCCTTTAAAATTAGATCTCTTGATTTGAAACAAAAACTTTACATATAGAAAGAAGTTTCAAATATACTGAAACCAGGCATCCTGAAAAAGCATGTGTCCTCTTTTTCTGTATGTTCTCTTACTTCAGTATGTTTTCTTTTCTGTGGTGTATAAAATCCTATCTGTAATAAAATTTTGTTTTAAAAGGAACCATTAGGTCTAACAGAGTTATCCTTTTTCTCTAGAAAATAATATTTACATTTACTCAAATTTTTTAATGAGTAAGGATATAAAAGACAATTATGTCATGTTTGCTTAATTAAGACTAAGGATAAAGATCATGTAATTACTCATCAAAATAGCATGAAACTCTTAATTTGGCTATTTAACAAAATATAGTATTTTTAGTGTCATTTAAACATGCCTAATGTTGATATGCAGCATCAACAATATGAAATGATTGTAAAATTATTTCCTTGTAACTGTAAAATGGATTTCTAAATTAAACTTTTTCCATGATTTTAGTGCATTCTTCAGAGTATCATACATTAAAACAAATATATCCAATCCTCAATATTTATTCACTTGGTGTTAGCTCTTAGCTGTGATTATCAGTGTGCTGAAATTTAACGGAGTATTTGTAGGTATTTAGACTTTGACAAAAACTACATCCCCCTTTTGTGGTGGTCTGATAGACAGTTCAGATTAAAAAGCCTTACATTTTTAATTTAAAAGTATATACTATGCATACAACACTAGGACATAAACATTTTGGTTTAAAGTTATATACTATAACTTTACAGTACCAGAATATAAATTGAAAACATACTATATAGATATGATTCAGTAGGAACGAACATCTTTTATCCTCAAACTTTATCCAAGTTCACACCTCCTATTCCTTTAACTCTTAGGACTGATTTGAAGAAAAAAACCCTATTCTTCATTCCTTCATCTTAATACTCTATTTATTAAATATTTTCAAACAAATTAAATAGCCTCCATTAAA